AACAGCCATCTGATCAACAACCAATAAACTCACCCGAGCTACCAATATTTCACCACATTACCAATTGAAGCGCTGGTCTCACAATCTCGGCTGTCTTCCTCACATTTCCTAATAACACCAGAATATTAAAAGTCGTTCGGGAGGAAGAGAACAAATCACATGAAAAGTTAACTTTCCACCTCGGAATTCGTTACCCAAGCAGTCAGTCAACGCGTGACCAAGTGATGTGAATTCTATGATTGAAGAATGAGACGCATTAAATCCTTTCTTGGTGTGATTACATCACGTGACTACTCGTCGTCGGGCAATTTACGGCTACTTCGGTTTATCAAATATTTCAATGCCATGGGATGCAGCGAAAGCCTTGAAAAATGCGAGCATCCAGCGGTTGTCATTCCGAATGAGAAGGTCCCTTACTCTTTAATTTCAAAATAGTAGCCAAGAGATTGGGGTTTTGGTCAAGCTTGTGTTCTGAGCATGGATTTGGAACTCAAATTCGTTGAATGAATGTGACAAAGAACTGAATGTGATTCCGTCTGTGCGGATGGTCAAAGAAGACCCAAAAGCACAATGTCAGAAGGTGAGTTTGTCGTAGTGGTAGTGAAACTCAAATAATCTACTTGAGGTAGTGATCGGGTTTCGAATCCTGAGAGCTATATAAGTCATGGTTGTAACGCAACGGATGAAGCTAGTGAACACATAAATAAGGCATGCGTAGCGTTTGCCAACTTGTTTCATTCGCAGTGCCACAGGTGAATACTGCGGAAGTTAAATGGTTGTGCATGAATGGAAACTATAAATACAAGCCTCATTATATATGGTGGACTTGTCCATTTCAATCCGAGTTCTTTGGGAGGGTTCTAATTACTTGGGCAATCGCTGCTCACCCAAGCGCGAAAATGTTCACCTGTTTAAAGGTAAACATCCGGATGAGTCCAGCGTACGCTGCCGGAGTAGTGGTAACACGCTCGCCCCCCATGTCAAATGTGCGAAGCTCAAACCTCGGCACGGCCATCGGATATGCACTGCTAATGAGATCTAATAAGAGCAAAATTCGAGTCCATTACTTTCACCTTTTGGTGTAGACCCACCAGGATTGCGCGAGGTCAGGAGGTAGGTATTCCACAAAAATCTATTTGACGAATCATAATCGCGGATGCTGGAGAGCAAAGGCTTCAAGTAACCACTACCAGCACAAGAAGATATGTTTCCTGTTTTAAACCATTGTTATTAAAATGTTTGAGGAAGGCAGACTATGAACTGGTAGCGTGAAATGCGATCAACTGTAGTCTAATCGACTGCTGTGATATTCTGGATCTCCCTGGCTGGAGGTCCTGTTCTGCTGCTTTCACTTGGCAAATAGCCCTGCAGCACAAGGAACAGAGCCGACTCTGTTGGAATGTATATTACCGTTTACCAGCCGGACATTCTATGGCTGTGCGCTTGGCTTACGTTAGTCAATCCAGCTAATGGCAACCCCATTTGACATTACACGCAGTTGCATTTATTTTGATGGTAGTGAGGGATATCACCACGTTGTTTTTTGACACTCCTGCTATGAACAAAGGACCTGTTCGCATTGGGCCCCTAAAGTGTCATTTTCTCTCCATTTTATACAAAAAAACCTTCCTTCCTTGGCAGTGAGGGATATCACCACGTTGTTTTTCGACACTCCTGCTATGAACAGAGGATCTGTTCGCATTGGGCCCCTAAAGTGTCAGTTTCTCTCCATTTTATACAAAAAAACCTTCTCATGGGCGCGTGGAAGTTATACATGGGTCTATATTTCCGGTACGTTGCTGTCAGTGGTGATGATAATGGAGTTATGCATGGATCTATACTGTCCGGTATTGATGTGAGAAGCTTTAGGCATCTCTGTAGTACCATTGAAAAAAATGCTTTAATTTTCAAAAAGCGATTAAACGGAAAATTCTGATCATCAGCTGGGTTAAAGTTCACCTGAAGTAAGTTTGACTATCAACAATCTAAATTTAGCTAATGTGGCTGGCTACGGAGAAGCAACGCCCTCATCGTTATGGTGTTATTACGGTAAAAAAAATTAGAGCTGCTGTGGATGGTGGTTCAAAAATTATACAGAACGGAACGGAATCCTCGTCCTCATGCTTCGTAAGCCGATGCAATTAGTCCAGATGAACTGTATTCATAAAGAATCAGCAATGAAATTGAACCACAATAATAATTTGAATTGGGTGCATCATATTTAGCGGGTATTGTCAGTGTACGATCTTCAAGTGTTGGTGCGATTTAATATGACAACAAATTGTGCTTTGGAAGGAAATACAATCGGGCAGTTTTGGTGACATTCTCCTCAGTGAGGATGATTTGCAGTGCACCTACCTTGCGATAAAATAAGTTCCAACGATCTATTTTATATTTTCATATCTAACCCAAGTCCTAAATGATTTAAACTGTGATTTTGGTCTGGCAGTTTGACAACTTTAAAGCATATTTTATCTTTTTTTACACCGTTTATCGTAGGGTATAACGGTGCGGATGATGGAATTCGTAAGGATCTTGGGCCAATGCAATGGTTTGTCAACAAATTAAAGGGTCCTCTTTGCAAAGTTGTTGATTTCTTATTCAGTGCTATCCTAAAAGCAACCCCCTTGGCTAAAGGCAGCACAAAATGGTTTTTAATAATTACGTAGAACTAACAAACTACTAATTAGCAAAAGCTGAATAGGTGATGGTTGATTAACTGGAAAGGGAGGCAGTCCTAATGAGGTCAGCGAAGTTGACAGCAACGCTCATGGGGTTATGAGTATCCGCAGAGAATTAGCCTGTTCTTTATAAAACTGATTGTGAAAAATGCTGCTTAATGAAACTGAAACTTCCTTAGTTATGTAAACACAGGTGAAAGGTAGAAGGCCTTCGCTGCGGAGTTGTTTATTAGAAAACATCAACTAAACAGTTACGGACTATTGGAAGCAAAACTCCTATACGCATCTTGTTCACAAAAACTGAATATCCATCTTCTCCCTGAACATGTCTTCCTGAACTTTCCTGGATATTCACTGACCGTTACTCAAAGGCGAGCAAATGCTACAAACGAACTCCACAAATTCCGTAACAGGTGTCAAGAGACGCGAAGCGGATTCACAAGTAAACATATTACTCCCATGCCCTATCAGTAGTATTCACCGTTACACAGGTAGCATAGGTTGTTTTTTCAAGCTCTACTGACTAGGCGATGAATAATCACACAGGATTTCAACCTGGAGAACGAAAATTTCCTATGAATCAATTTTGAGCGGTCTGCACTTCTCTACCAGGGTCCATGAGGGCAGCAAAATACATGGGGGGGAGGCACAAGAACAACTGGAGGTCTGTTATGAACACGTTGATTAGGTGAAAGAATCTAGTGGATAAGCCCATTTCTGATTCTCAAATAAAAACGGGCCAAAATTCTCACATTAACTTGCATGCGACTTTTAGGAGAACGAAAATTTCCTATGAATCAATTTTGAGCGGTCTGCACTTCTCTACCAGGGTCCATGAGGGCAGCAAAATACATGGGGGGTGGGCAAAAGAACAACTGTAGATCTTTTATAAACACGTTGATTAGGTGGAAGAATCTCGTGGACAAGCCCATTTCCGATTCGCAAGTAAAAACGGGCCAACATTCTCACATTAACTTGCATGCGACTTTTAGAAGTCAACAGGGTAGAGATGGATAGGTGTATAACTGTAGCTTCATTGGCTATAGAATAACCATCTTAATTTGGGTGTTTGTTGGGGGAGATACGTGTCACTGGGAACATTTGATGTCCATTCTAGTTTTGACAACTCTGATCGCAATGCTCATTTGGAGCTACTTTTGAAATGAGCCCAATTTTTCCCCATATCTATTTCACCTCTGTATGGTCGGAAAATTTCCATCGAATTCGTGAGAATCCTTAACTTGTTCTAGGACAGCGAATTTTGCTCTAGAAGAAATTGCTGTCCATAAAGTGATTTTGACTATCCGGGGAAAATGACTGAACGAAGGCTGGCTCGGTAACTTTGAAAATAGATTGTCTTCTGTGTACTTCAAACCGCCAAAAAAAGACAATCTACTTTCGTAATGTCGTCGGTAAAATTGAATACTTGGTTCCGGGGGCGCAGGTTTAAGTTGTATTTGTTAGTTTTGCCTATATATTTTGTGTCCACACCTGTTTTAGAATTCGTCGCAGATGGAAAGAGATGTCAGTGTGTAAGTTGCAAGCTGTGTGCACTCAAACTTGCGTGTTAATCAGGGTTCGTAATGTGATCACTTGTTTTGTTCGTTGAGGTCAGTTGTTCGGTTTCGAGCTTCTCGTATTGACTGAGTTTTTGATGTCGGTGCTATCTCAGTTAAGCAGGTATTCACGTGCGCTGGTGACGTTCTTACACACGGACAGACTCGCACCTCAGCGAAATTATGCACTGGAGTTTCTACAGCCATTGATGACATAGCGTTTGCTACAACTATACGCGAAACTGCGCCCAGAAAAAAGACGATCAACTAAATAAGCCTCTGCCATCAGTAAGGTTTCCAACAAAAACAATAGCTTCACGCAACCTAAAACACCCTATATCTGTATCCGCCAGTTCAACGGCTTCATTGTTTACAACCTTCCCTCGATTGATGAGGCTATCCTCGAACAAAGCTCATGAACTTTACGAGAGATTTCAAGGGCGCCCTGACATTGGTGCATAATATGAGATGTTTTTGAAAGGAAGAGCCTTCATGTATTTACTCAGAACAAAAAACGAAAAGCATTCCAATAGTAATTCAAGCAGAACAGAACATATAACAAAGCAGAGCTTGGAGTTTTTTATTTTGGCTGTTTTACATGCTCACTGTGTCTCCGGACATTCTGATGACCCAATGGAGAGTTCTTTCGGATGACCGCCAGGCAAGAATCTGCGAACGGAGTAGATTGATTTTGAGTGTTTTTGAGACAAACAACATGTTTACCATCTTATTATGGACGTCCAAAATGCGGTGCACTTCGTGGATAGCTGTTGGCGCTACAATGTCGTTGAGCGCCAACCATTTTTCTGGACTGTTTACAGGACACTTTTTATTAGATTTTATTGATTCCCCGCCCCCGAAACGTAGTTAACATTTTGTCGAATTTGTCGCGCTTCATAAAACCTGTATTCCTTATATTCAAATGGGGAAGCCCATGCAATTGGTTGGCTCGAATAGTTTTGAATGGGTGACTCATCGGCCTTTAAAAACTTGTGTGGATGAAAGTTGGCACTGATAAATGACTAAATATCATCACAATCGGAAAAGCGCTGCCTTTGAACAGCTGTTAAACGACCTTGAAATCTCACCTAACTGGCAGGAGACCTCAGCTTGCTAACACCAGTGTGTCGCCCAATAACCACTGAAATGAAGTGTGTGTGAGTAATGAAACTGAACAAAACCCAGGGTTATTTTATTTTTGTTGGCTTTGGTAATTGTCTAAATAACTTTGCGTGCTTTAGCGCTACAATCCAGAACCTCAACGTTCAATTTATTTTGGATTTTACAACAGTAAGACGCTACTATCCAGAACCTCAATTTATTTTGGATTTTACAACAGTAAGCTATGTTTTGAAACAATCCATTGCATTATTCATCAAGTAAACAGAATATGACTCGGAGGTGTTTGCCTTAAATTCTACTGACAGTCATATAAGTCACACAATTGCTTTCTACATGTCTGGGAAATTTGCAGACACCGAGGAGAATGGGACCAGATTTATAATACAAAAGAGATGATTGGTAATAAGCATTGTCTAAGTTTGTGCAGATAAGCGACAAGTACATAGATGCTATGCACATCTGTCCTGCCAGCTGTGTCTTATCCAGCTAGGTCAATCACGCCGACGAAACGTCACGGCACATATTGATCCTTACACACTGTTTTGATCAACTCGTGAGAATTCGAATCGCGGATGTTTACAAATTCTTTCCTTCTGTGTGTTGGAGTCGCAAAACCCTTAGACGAACAGCAGAGATGCATAGCGATGGCCTCGTCAGAAGACCTCATTCTTCTTGGGAAGAGCTTTAGGGAGTCTGTTTAGGGTAGACATGCGTATTTGGTTAATTATCAGCATCTTGTTCATACACGAAGGTTTAGCTTTCGTCATATAATCGTTTTTGATGGAACACTGTAAAGGGTCTTCATAAATGGACTTCTGAGATCCTAGTTCATTTTGCACTGGGAACATCCATTTTGATATTTGGAAATATTATGTGTGATCAGCTTGATGATGCATCGCTGGGGAATCAGTTAGGACCGCTTCTATCCCAACATCCCGTTTTTTTAGCGAAAATGTTGCCGTCTGTGTTAACAAATCTGGGAATGGTAAAAAAATTAGGAATTAGTAACCAACCTAAAACGGATTGTCTGTCAGTTCATGATACCACGAGTGAACTAGCTTATTAGGAATTCACAGGAGTTAGCACCATCAGAATATCTTCTGCGCTAAACTTCGACGAAGTATTGAGTTTTATGGTCGAAAGATAATACTACACTGACAGCATTTGTTTCTGTTTATTCAGTTAGATTTCATTTCAATGGCTTTCACCCAGGAGTACGGTCACCGAAGCAGTGTTGAGTTGGACAAGCGATTGCTGATTCAAATAATGTGAATTCCATGAAATCTCCGGCAAAATTTCAAAGGCTCTGGGATTTCCGACAGATAAGCTGGACGTTTTTCCGAAGGAGCGATTGATGAAGGCCTTGGACGTCCTGGATTCTTAGTACTATTTAGTTGACTTTACTGCAAACAGGCAGTAATTCAAACCCAGTAGCCCATGAACGTCGTTTTATTTGAGGTTCATACTTGTAAGACTTGGTGGCTGGTTTTCATCGGTGTTAATAGCTAAGGGAGAATCTTAAAATGTCTGGCAACGCAGTTCATATGACAACATCTCCCCCTCAGCTGTCATTGATAAGTATGATGAGGTAAATTACTCTCCATTGAGATCCTCGTTTATGGATTTCCCAATTATGAAAGACGCACAAACCGTCTGTAAGCTCAAACTAACAAGGTCTATATGTGTATTCAGGTTCCAGCTGAACTGCTTCCACGCATACGTCGTTTACGAGAGGAATCATGAGATAAAGGGGCACACAACATCACGGAAAATGGAATAACTCTACGGAACTAATAAACAGCACGCAACCGAACCCATTACATGAGCCTGCATCGGAGAGTAATCTTTATTCAGTTTAGTCAAAGGTTGCGAATCCGTGGCTGGACAGCCTAACTCTGGAAGCTTTTACTTCAATCCAGTAACACTGCAGTAATAAGTTCAGTGATTTTCTGACCTGTCGAACTTGTTTGGTTTGTAACCACATCGAGACCAGAACTGCACCACAGTACAAACAAAACGCGAATTTCTGTACGCAACTGATTATTGAACAAGCTCATCTGTGTTAGAAAAAATGGTATTCGTGAGCTATTCTGCAAAAACGTAGTTCCACCCTTTGCTTTTAATTTACACCTCGTAAAAAAACGTTACCAATGTAGATGAATGAGTCGGTACAACATACCGATATGATCG